TTCTATTATTTTTCATAAAAATAAAGGTAAAATTAAAGTTGAATTATTATTAGTTTTAAAATGTTTACTATATAATTTATTTAAACGTAATATATCTTTTGATATAAATAATTTCTTATAATAAATTTTAATCATTTTTTTTTCTATTTTTTAATATTAATTTTTTACTATATTTTTTACTTTTTCTAGTTATAATACCTTTTGAAATAGTACCCCAAGGAGAATAAACAGAAGAACGACCTATAGAATTTTTTCCTTCTCCTCCTCCATGCGGATGATCACAAGCATTCATAGCAACACCACGTACTTTTGGTCGTTTTCCTAATAATCTATTAAATCCTGCTTTATTTTTTTTTAAAAAAAGCGGTATTATATTAAGTTCTCCTAAAATACAAAAAACATTTTTATTTAAAAGTCTAATTTCTCCTGAAGGTAATTTAATTGTAACATATTTTTTTCCTATATAAATTAAAAAAGCACTAATTTTAGAATTTTTAACAAAAACTGCTCCTTTAGTAGGATTATGCTCAATATTATGAATTCAACTACCGCAAGGTATTTTTTTTATAGGTAAAATATTACCTATTTTTAATTCTATTGTTTCTCCTATATAAATAATATCTCCTTCTTTTGTATTTTTTGTAATAGGAAGATATTTATATTGATAATTTAAAGAATTATTAAGACATATTACTTTATATATATATTTTTGTAATTTATAATCTATTATTTTTTTTAATATTTGTAATTTTATTATTTTTTTATTATTATAATTAATAATATTAAATATATTTTTTTTAAATATATAATTATAATTTGTATTTTTTAATTGAGAACTTTTAATAAATAATCCTTGCCTATGTTTAATAGTAATATGTCCTTTATTATTTTTTCCAAAAGAATAATTAGAAATATATTTATTTCTTTTACAATAATACATATTATACATTTTTTTATTAAATTAAAAATATTATATAATTAAATTTTAAAAAAGAAATTATATTTAATGATTTTATAGATAATATAAAAGGATAATTAGTTTTTTTTATATTTATATTATTATTTAATAAAATATATATTATTTTATTAGAAAATATACCTTTAATTCTTTTCTGTTTATTTAAATATTCTTTAAAATTATTAAAAGTATATATTGTAGGCATTATAACTGTAAAAGATATATATGTTCTTTTATTTAAAAGTAAATAAAAAAAATTTAATTTTTTCTTTTTTATTTGAAATATTATATTAATAATTCTATTTTTAGGTCCGAATAATTTAATTCCTCCTTTCCATAAAGGAGATTTAAATGATCCTGATCGTGCCATACCTAATCCTTTTTGTTTCCAAGGTTTTTTTGTTGATTTAGATAAATTATTTTTATTTATAGTATTACTTTTTTTAATTTTATGATATAATTTTATTATAGTATAATAATTATTATTAATATATTTAATTAAAGTAATAAAAGAAAAATCAAAAAATTTAAAATAAATATATTTTATAATAATATATTTTTTATTAATATAAATATATTCATTATTAAATAATTTTAATGGGAATATAATATTTAATTTATTCAAATTAAAAAATTTCATATTTTATTTATTTTAATAATAGATATAAAAAATTATATTAATTTTCGGAATAATAGGATTTGAACCTATGACCTTCTATTCCCAAAACAGAAGCGCTACCTGACTACGCCATATTCCGCTATATAATAATATATATGCTCTTAAAGGAATTTGAATCCTCGTTTTCTTCCTGAAAAAAAGATGTCCTAACCTATTAGACGATAAGAGCTTTATTATAATTATTATTATAAGGGTTGTTAGCTTAATGGTAGAGTACTCGGCTTTTAACCGAAAGGTTCTGGGTTCAATTCCCAGACAACCCATGCATGTAGATGTATAATTAAATACGGAAATAACGGGATTCGAACCCGCATCTTCACCGCGACAGGGTGTTATTTTAACCTATATAAAACTATATTTCCTTAAATATTATTTATTAATATAATAATATAAGAGAGAAAGGGATTCGAACCCTTGAATATATATATAAATATATGTCAAATTAGCAATTTGATACTTTAAACCTCTCAGTCATCTCTCCTCCTTATTTATTATTTTTTAATATGAATTGAATCAGATTTGAACTGATGAAGATTTTTAATAATCGACGGAGTTACAGTCCGCTCCTATAGACCGCTCAGGCATCAATTCTTTTAAACTTAAATTTATACCTGAAAAGATTTGAACTTTTGAAAAAAAATGGATTATGAGCCCACCGCTTTTGACCACTCAGCCACAGGTACAAAATTCATTTAAAAATAATAATAAAATAAGGATGAAGGGACTTGAACCCTTAAAGTTTAATAAAAAACTTACGGATTTTAAGTCCGTTGTGTTTACCAAATTTCACCACATCCTCATATTCTTTATAAATAAAAATAATATATATATTTTTTAAAAGATAGTACTCAGAGTTGAACTGAGATAAAAAGATTTGCAATCTTTTGCTATACCTTTAAGCAATACTATCTATATAATTATAATTTTTAAGGGTAAATGACGGGAATTGAACCCGCTTTAAATAAATCCACAATTTATTGTCTATACCAATTGACCTCATTTACCTTTTTATTTTTTAATAAGAATAATATTTCATTATCAATATATTATTATAATTATTATTATTATATATATTTAATATTGAATAAATAATACTAATTAATGTATTTTTACAAATATATATAGTATCATATATATTAGAATTTTTTATATATTTTTTATATAAATTTTTTTTACATAATTTAAAAATATAATAAGATTTAGGAGATAAAGTAATTATATCTCCTTTTTTTAATAAAAAACTAGGAATTTTAATTAATTTAAAATTAACAAAAAAATAACCATGAATAATTAATTGTTTTGCTTGTGCAATAGTAATAGAATATCCTAAATTAAAAATTGTATTATCTAAACGTATTTCAATAATATTAATTAAATTAAATTTTTTATAATTATATTTGTGCATAAATAAAATATATTTTTTAATTATTTTTTCAGATAATGAAAAAGTAAATTTTAATTTTTGTTTTTCAAATAACTCTAATAAATAAAAAGATAAAATCATTTTATTATTATATTTATTTGTATTTAAAATAAAATATTTAGTAGAAAATTCAGGTTGCATATGTATATTTAATCGTTTTAATTTTTTTAATTTAGGCCCTAAATAACG